ACCAAGAATCGGTAACAAATGTTACCGCTCTCTTGTTACAGTGACCGGTGGTAACGGTGCCCTCTTCAAAGAGGCGATTTATGTTTTCTTGTACTGATAAGTGTATCAATCTCGATGGAGACTGTTACTAACGTATGGGCAATATTTCATTTGTATAGTAAGATGAATGAATGCTTGCATCTTATTTTTCCTAAATCCCTGGCATAATGGTTATCGGTGAAGAAAAAAGAATCGAGAGGCTGAGTTCAAGTCCTGGCCTAATCTGTTATTTTCACTGTTGCACTACTCTCCATAAAGATGACAGGATTTCGTATCCTCTTTTCCTCACTCTAAATTAACCAGAAGGGTAGAGTGGACTCCTTTAATTTGGGCGACAGTCAGTCTAAGAGTATTAAATTGTGAATGCGAAACCGTAGAAAAGGCAATGGGGAAACCACATTACTATATTTCTCAAGATGTCAAGGCAGTTCTCATATATTAAATAAAAGAAACTGTGGAAACTAGGACCCTGAATTCGGACTGCTGTGCTTGTCCTCCTCTTCGTTAATTCAAACGACCGTTACGACCTGCTAATACCTCATAAATAATGGAAAATTCCGTTTTGATTGCGTCGAAAGAGGGAAAAAGACGTTCCTTTGCATCAATGGGAAAATGAATGGAAAAGAATGAAGTGAAGGTAGAAGTGTTTAACGACTGGTTCAATGAAACCAGTGCCAGCTTCAGATCTTTTCATTTGTACCCCCTTACTTCATAAAATGGCGATCAGCATTCAAACTTATGATTTTTATTACAATATTTTGTTAAAGTTGTTAAGTTCAAATATTTAACGATACGATAGGGGAATATCTACTGATATTTTATTGTCATAGAAAACGCCATGAGCTTGTTCCACCATTAACGTGGAATAGGAAAAAGATGAAATGTTCACGGGTTAGATCTAGTTATTATTATTATTATTAACACTGATAATAGTAGTAGTAGTAGTAGTAGTAGCAACACTGGTTTATCTTCAGTTTATATTTCTGAGATGAGGTATTTTAACAATTTACAATATTTACATTGTTCGGACTGTTGTCTTTAACTTTATTCCACATTCACGACGTTTCGACCGTTGTACGTTCCGGTCTTCTTCAGGTGAAATTTTTACGCTGATTTTGAACCGAATCCTTTTATTTAGTTCACGAGGGTAGATTGTTCTAATTTCACGCGCCATGTCTTTAAATGTCTCAGTTTTAGTTAATTTGCCTTAATAAAAACTCTCCATGTTTTTGTTCTCTCTGCTGTGGCCAGGGATTGAACTCACAACTGTTTGGGTTAAGTCAAAGGGTTTATTTCGAAATTCCAACAAATATTACATGAAGAAGGGTCGAAACGTCGTGAACATGGCAATAAAGATGAGGTCAACGATATAAATAGTGTAGTTAGAATACCTCATCTCAGAAATATAAACAGATCCTGACGAAGGCCAGAGCATACAACGGCCGAAACGTTTTTAATATAACAAAGTTAAGGATAACAATCAGAAAAATGTAAATAAAATACCTCATCTGGGAAGTTTCGACAGATGTTTCTGTCTTCGTATAAATCTGTATAATATGCTTTAAGTTATTTGCCCATATTTTGTCTATCATGTTTATAAGTTTTTCTTGTACTAGATATCTTCCTTGCGTCGTGGTAGTAACTTTCTCTTGACAGACTTTTTCAAAGGCGATAGTTGCAAGGTGAGACATCATGGCGATAGCAAATTACATAATAAATAATTTGAAATATAAAAGGTATCGAACCGAAATTAATGTACCCTAGTGGAATGTCTTGCTCCGTCATCTCACTTATTACCCTTTTTTTGTTTTATTATAGATAACTTGAGCGGTAGTTTGGCAAAATGACATCTGACATGTTAGCAGAGATGACACTGATAGTCTACACACGAGAAAATTCCTCCCATTTATATTAATCGACGTTTGATAAACATTTACAAAGAAGAAACAGTGGATGTAAGCACAGTTTAGCATAATTGATGTATTGCAGCAGCACTTCAACCGGTCCAAATCCCCCCGCCCGAAGTTTTGAACAAGAATAAATGTTTATGCCTTGTTCCCTGTTTAGGATATGGTTTCCTCCTCTTTCATTTCCTGTAGCTCCTTGCGTCTTGGTGACATTATCCCCTTACTTGCGGTAGTGCCTCTTACTCTCTAACCCTCTATCTCGAGTTGCTCTCGGGACTTGTACAAGATGAATATCATTGTATAAAATATCATTTTATCATTGGGTCGCAGGTACAGACTCTTGTCTATCGTTGACTAAAATATTTAAGCAGTGATAGCGACTATGTAGACATTTTCTAGCTGAACACTTGTCCTATGCAATATATAAAATCCCGATTATATACGCGAGTGCTGAAAATTTCTCAGCCCAACCGACTCGAAATCAAAGTAAATGATAAAATCTCAGCATTTGATTTGTAATATCTAAATTTGTCGGCCCGAATAGTTTCCAGTATTCATTTCGTACATAAGCAAATTATATATTTGATATTGCATCAAATGCATCTAAATACATGAGTAAAAATTTCAGATAGAGTTTATCTGTAAAAAAAAGACAATATGAATAATAAAGGCGAAAGGAAAACATATTTTAGCCGACGCGTTTTGTCCTCTGTGGATGAAAGTCCTCGCCTAAGATATATTTTCCTTTTGTCTTTATTATTCATCTAAATATATGTATTATATATTTGTTATATATATTCCCGTATTAACATAAACTAGCAGAAAGCCCATTATGAAAAAGAACTTGTAGGAAGATTCTGATGCGCCAGTAGACGGTAAAAACATATTTGTATTAAATAATTCCTAACCGAATTTCTGGCTTTCATCTGAGCTTGAACAACGACCTTAGTGTAAAAGATACTGCACTTAGTCTGACTGGAGCGTATGTAGCAGCCTTGATAAAACTTAGTAGCCATAAATTCGCACGAATGATCGGGGATGGTATTGTAGAGTTAGTGGGCAGTGAGTTGTGAGTTTGTTCACTGTGTGATCTTTGCATTCAGAATGACTTAGCCAAAGAGATTCTCCTCTCATCATACCATTTGTTCTTTTATGAGGGGGAAAACAACGCAACAGCCAAGGTTTTTTAACGCTATCACAATGCAGGTTTAGGGTACTAATCACCAGATTTATATCGTGGACAAGATTAAAGAGAACATACTTAGGAAGCTGATGGCAATATCTAAAATGAATGTAACTGACTGATTTGAAAATTAAAAAGGGCAGACTTCGTATATATATATATATATATATATATATATATATATATATATATATATATAAGAGTTCTTCTTTCTGATAAGGTACTGAATTGATTCAACATCACACATCGCAAGGTTTCCTTTCAGATAATCAATATGGATTTCGCTACTGTAGATCTACTAATGTAATAATGGTATTGTTGAAAGAATCTATCAAGCTTTGGAAAAGAATAGTGATGCTTGGGCTGTTACTTTGGATATATTGAAGGCATTCAACGGAATTTGGAACGCTGGTCTTCTTCCCAAGTTGAAAAGCTGTGGTACTTCTGGACAAATGTTTGACCTGATTCATTCTGTCTCATTAAATCGCGAAATGAATGTAGTCTTGAACGGCCACTCCTCTAGAGCTTTTTGCGTTAATGCAGGTCTCACACTGGGCTGCATCTTTGGGCATACGTTGATCTTCATTTTCATCAGGAACTTCCCTGGTGCCATCGGTCCAGAACTCGGAATATATACTGATGGCAAAACTATTTACCCCTGATCGGTTCAATAAAGTCAAATTGGCAGCTGAGCTAAAATGGCCTACAATATTGTTAAATGAAGCGAGGAATGTCTTGTTAATTTTAACGTCCTTAAAAAAAAGCTGCTTTATTTTAATTGTCTGAGAGAACATTTCTTCCATCAGTATAGCAGATGCTAACTTCTAGGAGAATGACTCATTGCACTTTTTGGCGCTAACGTTTTCCCACTAGTATAAAGTGGAAAAATTATATTGACTTAATTTTTAGGTTACCTGCTACATTCCCTGTGTCATACGAGAAAATGTTTTTTGCCAGATTCTTACACATTTACAAATCTATCATCTTTATCGATGCATTGCTGGTAATCCCTGTCCGGTGCTTTTGTTTTTTAGAAAGTTTAGAAAAAATGCAATGAATCTGCAATGTTATTAGTCCTGACCTAGCAACTCGGCTTCAGTCCCTTTCTCACTGCCTTAACGTAGCTTTCCTCTGACTTTTCTATAAATATTCTCAAGGTAATTGTTCTGATGAGCTTTCATCTTTGTTATCTAAACTTTGTGAATTTAAGCGTACTATTCGATTGGCAGCAAGGTTTCACCATCTTCCAGTTGAAATGCCTAAAAGTTCTATGCTAACTGTTTCTTCTTTCGCACTTCTTGACTGCGGAACTTTCTTCTGGCTTCTTGCTTTAGGGTCAAATTCGAACATCGAAAACTTAAATGCAATTTCAATCATTTTGTTTTGTTTTCGTAATTCGTGTTCTTTTGATGTTCTCTGAATAATATTTTTTTCTCATATTTTCTTATACGCAGTCATAGTGGCTTTGTTACCTTGCTTGGGGTTAAATGATTTTAAAAAAATAAACATATCTTAGTTTGTTGCCATGCCGGAATTTTGTCAATATACAATAAGTTACCAGAAGCACTAGTTGAAATACGAACCAACTTCTGCAACCAAGAACTAAATACTATACATATTAGAAACACCAACAAAGCGATATTGAAACTATGAAGAGTGCCAATGTTCATTCCTTGCATGCATCCATATTCTGATAAATTCTTTCACCATTGACACGATGCAGATTGCACGAATACATCATTATTAAATTAGATGGAATTTCTTCCGACAAGAGCTAAATCTTAGATATTTCCTCTACTCGGGTAACTGTAAAGAAGAAAGACTTTTTGAAATGTTCTAGCGTATTATTCATTTTCTCCTATCGTCTTTAGTTTCATCTTTCTCTCTCTCTCTCATTCTTTACTCTCTAGCTTTCCACAATCTCTATTCTTCTTCACTCTGTACATGTCTCTCTCTCTCTCTTTTCTCTTTCTCTTTCTCTCTCTCTTCCTATCGCTCTCTCTTCATATCTCTGTGTGTCTTCGCTGTTTCTCTCAATCTTTCTTCTCTGTCGCTTCTTTACCACTTCCCCCCTCTCTCTATCTTCCTCTCTCTCTCTCTCTCTCTCTGTCTTTTCGCGGTTTCTCTCAATCTTTCTTCTCTATATGTTTCTTCCCTCTCACTCTCTTCCTCTCTTTCTGTGTTTTCGCGGTTTCTCTCAATCTTTCTTCTCTGTCTCTTCTCTTCTTTATCTCTGCTTCTCCCTCTCTCTCTGTCTTTGCATTTTCTCTCAATCTTTCTTCTCTATCATATCTTCTCTCTCTCTCTCTCTTTCATCCTCTCTTTCTCTCTGTATCTTCGCGGTTTCTCTCAATCTTTCTTCTATATCTGTCTCTTCTCTCTCTTCCACTTCTCATGCCTTTGCGTTTTCTCTCAATCTTTCTTCTCTAACTTTCTCTTCTCTCTCTCTGTCTCTTCCACTCCCTCTCTCTTTCTCTTCGCAGTTTCTCTCAATCTTTCTTCTCTATCTGTCTCTTCTCTTCTCTCTCTCTCTTCCATGTCTCTCTCTTTTATATCTCCATCTTTCCTGTCTAAATTTCTCCTCTCCCTCTTCCCTTTCTCTCTGTCTGTTGTACTCTTTCATCCCCCCTCTCCCTCTCTCTCTCTTCTATATCACAATTTTTCCTCTCTCTTCCATCTTTCCTCCCTTCTTATTTTCTTCTTACACGTTTTCATTTCTCTCTATCATTCTCTCTTTTATTTCTCTTCTTTCCTTATTTCTAGTCTCTCTCTCTCTCTTTCCTTTCTCTTTCTCTCTCTCACACACACACTCTTGCTGTCTGCTATATAACTCGATCTTTCCAATGGATATTTGTCTTCTTCCTTCATCTGTCTTCTCTCTCTATCTCTCTTTGCTGTCGATATTTCTTTTTTCTCTTTCTCTTTCAGTTCTCATTATGTTCCTTCTCTTTCTCCCCCTCCTCTCTCTCTCTCTCTCTCTCTCTTTCTTCAATGTTTGCAGGGGTATTGTTCTATAGGCTACTTTGGAGTAGTTTATTGATTTCTGCCTTTTACATGACCTTTGCCTTAATCAACTTTGTTTTATCGATTTCTTACACTTACAGAGCGACCTAATGGTTGAGATGGTTGTGTTTTTATCTTGGTGCCTTGGGGTAGTATTTGAGCCGGCGTAAAAGCGATTAGCTTAAAAACTAATTTTCAAACGGGGCAGCATTTCTAATTATTTATTTGTTAGATATCAATTTCTACCTGCCTTTGCTCAACAACATAGAACCTTGAGTATATACAAAGAGTAAATTAGACTGGTACAAGGCTGAAAATGTAAAGCGCTCATTAACATTCAAATTCACTTCAGTAGATCAGCGTTTTGACGACGGTTTCATATGTAAATATATGTACAGTGATACCTCAATTGAAAAGTCATTTTCGAAGACAGGACGGGTTATCTTAAATATTATATGTAAAAATAAAACTCTACTGAGGTCGTTTTACTCGAGATAACATCAGCCGTTAAAAATATTAGAAATGTCAAAACACTAAAATAAAAATAGACGTAAAAGCTTTACACTATAGTTGAAAGACAAAGGTTCAATTTGCCCTTGCAACTAACAGTTAGACATACGCCTGGTTAAAGCTAGAATACGAAGGTAAAACATAGATCCGGTTTCCAGTAGAAAAAGACAAATGTAGAAATAAAGTGAAAAAGGTTTATGGAGATCCACTTGACACCAAATTAAAAAGATAGACATATATGCGGCTTTTAAGCATTTCACTCCAAGCAAGGCAGGAGTACCACTAGCATACAAGGAGTTACAGAGAGTGATAACAAAAGTAAAGAGGGGTGTTTGAGGAAAGGATATAGAGAAGGACGTGGATCAGCATCAAGGCATCAGATGTCGATTGACATTACATTTGAATATTTGAAGATTATAGCAATCAGGGAAGCAAGTAAGAGGAAGGGAGTTCCATTGGTGGGAAGTGCAAGAGAAGAATCTGTTAGGGTAGAAGAGGCGGTTATATTTAACTCTTTTGACAGTGAAAGTGTAGGCCTGAGATGCCAACCTAGTAGCAAGCTTAAATTCATGAAGTTGGGGAACCAGTGAAAGTAGCTCGTCCGAGCACTTGCCATGAAAATATTTGTAGAAAATACAGAAGGAAGCCACTGTATGTCTGTAATAAAATGACTGTAGTCGAGATTCCAGGTCAGAACCTATTACATTGCAGATCGGTCTCTGAATTTTGTCTAGGACCTCGAGATGAACAGCGGAGACACCAGACTATATATGGTAGCAAAATGTTAGACATAGTTCTGGTTTGAACTAAAATAAAAAAAAAAGTTAGCCTTAGTCGGGTTTATATCCGATTCTTCAGTATACTTCCTTTAGATCCTTTCATTAGTAGGGTCTGAGCTCTCTTCCTGGGGATATACTGTGGCACATTCTAGAGGTAACTGCAGTATCGAGGATTAACTTACTAAATAGTGAGGCGTCTGATATCAAATCAAGATTAGCTTCATCTGACGAAAAAACATGACGATAGGGCATCTTAAGAAGACAAAACACTAGAATAGAGATTATCTATGAAATTAGATTGCAGATTATTGCATCATGGATTATGTAACCAATTCTTTGTATATTACATTAGATTAGAGATTAGATTGCAGATTATTGCATCATTGATTATGTAACCAATTCTTTGTATATTACATTAGATTAGAGATTAGATTGCAGATTATTGCATCATGGATTATGTAACCAATTCTTTTGTATATTACATTAGATTAGAGATTAGATTGCAGATTATTGCATCATGGATTATGTAACCAATTCTTTGTATATTACATTAGATTAGAGATTAGATTGCAGATTATTGCATCATTGATTATGTAACCAATTCTTTGTATATTAAATCCTATCCTATTATTCAAAATAAATGTGTTTCAAAAATTTTAGCGGATGCGTGTAGACTCGATTATTACCGAACCATATACATACTATTTACCTATACGTGCATACATTTAGGTAAAGTGTAATTCATACATTCGTTAGAATAAGATATTAAAATTGATTGATTTTTTACGGCTTATCGACCTTTTGCAATTTATTTAAAACTGAATATTTTTAGATGTTTAGAACTCTGGTTTCCGGCTATGAGATCAGGTTTCAAATCCACACCAATGGCGATTTCTCAGAAAAGTGATTTGTTGTTGTTGTCAACATGGGGAATCTATCCCAGCATGCAATACGTTTAGAAAGCCACGTGTTGTCCTTGGAAGTTAAATTGGATAAACGGAATTCTTCGTCGAGGGTCGTTCTAGCACGAAATCAAAAGTCATCGTGACAGATGGACAGAGTGTACTGACGTTGTTGAAACTGTTGATCACGCCAAATGATGCGCTCTCTTCGAGAAACTATAACCACGGTCCGCTCAGTATAGTTGCAATATAAACCAGAGGTGGGCTTTCCTGGGCTGAGAATAAGAGGAATTAACTAACTGCTCTACTAGGTAGACTTACTTGGATAACAGCAGCTAACCATTATACTACAACAACAGTCCGATTAGTTCTTGCAATAGATGTTAGCAAAACTTTGTATATACGTTAAAGGAATCATTTCATGTGCCTGAGATGGCGTCTGCAACATGGATTGGCTAGAATTATGTGTCCGGTTAGGCACATCTGAATTACCTGTATCATTAGTCTTTCGCGTTGTGACCGATATTAAGAAAAGAATAAATTGTCTACATCAGGGATTAACTACTGGCTTGGTCGTATTTCTGAATTGTTGCTGGTTCTTGTTTAATGTGTCATGTCACTTCAGGGCCGTAGCAGGGACAGTTTTTTTGTTTTGTTTTTTGCGGTTGGTGGCGTGGCAAAAATTTAGAATTTAGCCTCAAGTTATCAATGGCCGATAGTATGTTTATCGGCAAGAACATTTAAAATTCACAGGGCCTCTAGGGATTGGCCAAAATTCTCTTTTTGGCCTCCTTTCTAATTTTATTTCATATAGCGGAAGTTATGCGTGGATCCTATTTTGTTTTTCGTAGGTTTTTGCTACAAATTATTTAGCCGCTGGACCGTCAATATCCAGTGTTTATCGATCGGTGTTAGTCTTTTCATCTTCTTCCTCTTTTTATTTGAGAGAGAAATATATCGACAGAAAGAAAATGAAAGAAAAAGAGAAAAGGATTTTAAAGGAAAGCAAATGCTTTATTTTAATTTGAATTATTTTCTATTTGTTTGTACATTTTTAGTTTTATATTTTATTTTATTTGACTCAGCAGAATTCCAAATTAAAATGAAAACGCACCGACGCGATAAAAGGAAATTACCATCATCGTACACCTTTAAAGAAGAATCCTTTCATCAGGTTTTTATAACAGTTATATCCGTCCTTATTTTGACAGTTTTCTTTTTTGAATTTCTTTCTTTATTGTGTTAAAATAAAACACTGTAAAAATGCAACGATTGGTAGAAATTTGTTGTGGGTTCAATGCTAGTAACGGTCCTGCTGACTTCAGATTATGACGATCCTGGTTGATTTAATCTGTTTGCTTAACGACATATCAACCTCTTATGTGTCATTTAATGCAGAAATTTAATTTTCCTGAGAACAATGAAGTAATAAAAATATTTTATTCCGCTTTCACGATTGAATACATGGTAGATGATACTCAGTTTTGTGCAGTAAAGGGTGTTTCATTAAGACGGATTATATATAAGGATGTTTCATTGAGAAGGATCAAAGTTAGCAGTAAATAATTCAGTGTTATTGGTGAAAATTTATTTATTTCTCTATCTTTATTTTCTGTAAGAAAAAAAATCATTAGACGCTTAAACTTAATTCACATTAAAATCGGTCCAAGTTATTGGAACAGACTTTATATATATTTGTGAGGACAGGATTACTAGAGTCGACGATAGGTGTGTTTTATGGCGTAGTTAAAATGATATTTTGCAATACAGTTTGATTTCTTAAGAAATTGTAGGGTATTATATGGATTAATGTCATGAAAGATTTCTTTCATATAGATTGTTTGCTTTGTTTAGCAACATATCAAACTGTATGGGTTATTTAATGACAAAAATTCCTTCAAGTACAAATAAAATGTATTGTTGGTCATTTTGCTATAAAATGTTGGTAATTCTGCTAAAAATATCTATCATTGGTATTTTTTTATATAAAAATGTATTGCTGGTATTTTACAATAAAATGTATTTTTATATTTTCATGGTGTTTTCTTTTTATTTGGCGGTTCACTATATATCCATCGATAGGGGCCCAAATATAGGCAAATAGTTAATCCTAAAACGGAGGTTAACTATCGTAAAAATATCCGCAATATATTTTTGACGAAAAAAAATATTGCCAACAATACATTCGTCTCTCGACAAAAAAAAATCTCATTTCAAAACTACGGCAATGAAATCTAATTTACAAACCGATTTCTTACAGAGAATACATATTCTTTTCATACAAACCTATCCTAAAAAAATCTTGGCATTAATTAACCATTTGAGGTAGATATAGCGTAAAACAAAATAAACCAAATCTCTGATCTACAAACTGATTTCTTACAAAAAATACATATTTCATTCATACAACCCTATCCTAAGAAATCTTGTCGGCATTAAGTAACCCAATGAGGTTGATATACCATAAAACAAAATACACCAAACGAACTAAAACTTCCTCGTTGCTCACATGCTATATCCATGGTATTTCCAGCATTCTTCTGTTGCCTCAAGTCTCCTTTGTGAGAAGATTGTCCAGTATTCAGTGTTGTATAGGATGAGCGACATAGCAGTTCCATAGTCTTTTCTTTATTTCCTGTTTCTTAAAACTTTGCTTAGCTTCTAGAAGACATAATTCCGCTATTCCAAAGCTTCTTCAGATTTCTGTATCAAATTTCGGACACATTTTTTGTCCTAAGTTAAAACATTCCCCAGAATTTCTATACTTGCTTGAATTTAGCATCTACAACTTGTAGCTCACATCTGGAGCTGTTCCTCTTGCTGACAACCATTTATTCTGTCTTCAT